TCCCCCTGTTCTGTTTACAGTGTTGTATGAGTAATAAATATATATAGGCAAGACTATTGTATCACAGAAGAACACCCGTTCCCGCTACACCCTCAGATGTAGGAGTCATGAACCTATAATCTGAAACCACGAACTCCGGTCACAGTAACTCCACAACCCACTTTCCTCGAACTCCGATTACAGTAACCCAAGCTGTGGGTCCTATCTAGAGTGCCAGCGATGATACAGCTCAATCTCTTTCGCCCACGGAATCAACCGGTTGGTGGTGCTTACGCTCAAACTTGTACGGCCCCGCTTAGGCACGCGGCAAAGCTCTTTTAGTGATTCTGCGGTCTCAAAGTGCAGCTACCGTAATTGCTCATTGGGACCGCGTCGCAGATATCAGAGTGTGACATATACATAGATCGTGCGCTCCAACCACAATCAAATTTCTACGGTAGGGCGTGTACTGTAAGCGTGGCATAAACAAGCCTCGTACGCTTCCCATTTTCCCTCTTTAAATGCGCAGCATTTCTGGTGACTTCTCCCTAGTCGTCTGTTGTCTCTTACTTGTCTCTTACATGCATGTATGACGTATACCGTTCATTAGTTCCTCACAGAGGAAGCATCCCCCCACCCAGAAAAGTCCTGGCCTTCGTTCTGGGGTGGAATAACTGCAAGTTGAGAGAACTAGCAAGTTTATATTTCATTCGGCTAATCACATTTTTCCTCTTCTCGAGGGGGCCTCCATCGAATAAAGCAGGGCTAGTCAAAAGGACGTTTAGTTCGGAATGGTAGTGTTGATAGGTAGTGTCTGAAAGTGTTTGGGGATGTCCCCTGACCGCGCTTGGGTAGACTCGTTCTGACTTTTGCGGAGCGACCGCTTTGATGAACAGCATCGTGCTCCACGGATGCAAAGTCTCGGATAAGAAGTAAACAATATGGAAGATCTCGTTCCCGTATTTAAGTGTGGTAGAGTAAGGAAAGCGGTCATTTACGCCCAACCTCATCTCCAGTCCAGACTACTTCATCGGCAATGAGCGATGAAGAAGAGGACGATCTTGGAATCAAGCCGGTTCGTTTTGGAGCTCTGTCGCCCACTCCTGTAGTTCCCAGAGGTGTCCTCGAAGTTCTGAACAGTGCTCGAGCAGCTAAAGGAACACTCTTCCGTAAGTGTTACTCCGTTTGAAAACTGAGTTTCTATGTTTTTTGAAGGGAACTGTGATCGACTCCAGCAAGGCAAACTACGTTGTCATTAAACTGCTCGGTGAAGGAGGATTCGGCGCAGTATTTAAGTAAGTACTAATTCAGAATACTAAAGAATCTCGAAACCACACCGAGAGCACTTGATCGAGATCGGCTCATTTTCATCAGGAACACCTCTACCGATTTGAACATTAGGTCGATGATCATCTCCATCCCAGTGAAGTTGCTGAGTCACAAGAGTAGCTGGTAGAACGGATGAGGGAGTCGCTTATCTTCGGCATACACCCGCCCACTCAAATGTTCCACGCCCACTATTACTGCTCTTAACAGTTAGCGACACTTTGGGAGAGATCCTTCGTGGGATCGTCCCACCACCTCACTTTTAGGGTTCTTCGTGATCGCTTCCCTTGTGCGTAGTATTCCTTTCCACTTCTTCTCTTATCAGGTAATTCCCTTATCAGGTTTTTATTTTCCAAAGTCCCTCTTAACTTGGTCCCCATACAGGGACCAAGTTAAGAGGGAAACGAGGACATACAAGTACAGGGCACTTTAAAACAAGACCGCAAGACCATTCGACAGAATATTTGCTTGTAATAAACTTGACCGCCCTAATACTGTTATTACAATTCACTATTTTTGCGATACTTGTACCCCTTCAGAGTACATGATCAAAAGGATCCAACCAAACTTTTTGCCATGAAGGTGGAAAAGAAATTAGAAACTCGGAAGCATTCAAAGCTCAAAATGGAGGTCATTCTCTTTCTTTGCACATTTGTTTCAGCATTGAAATACAGAACAGCAACCATTTAGAATACTACTCAATATTCGCAATCAGTAAGGGACCTCCTTTATCAGGCTATGTTTAACCAGACGACTGCTATGAAANACATGATCAAAAGGATCCAACCAAACTTTTTGCCATGAAGGTGGAAAAGAAATTAGAAACTCGGAAGCATTCAAAGCTCAAAATGGAGGTCGTTCACTCTCTTCTCACATTTGTTTCAGCATTGAAATAACAGAACAACAACTATTTAGAATACTACTCAATATTCGCAATCAGTAAGGGACCTCGTTTATCAGGCTATGTTTAACCAGACGACTGCTATGAAAAGAACAAAGCGCTATCGACAAATTGTGGACCAAAATGCACAAATTAAACGAAATTCTCTCATTGTAAACAGGAGATAAAGGATTGAAACGAAGCAAAATTCCTGAGTAGAAGATAAAGGATGAAGGTTAAAGCCTATGGTGTTACCCAAGTTCTCTGACGCCTCGAGATGTGGTTTCGTATACGACTCCCATCCGAAATCGTAGTGGCATATTGAATCTGTGGCCTATACAATGACTTCAGGTGCAGCCGATGCTCAAGTCAAGGCTTCACCCTCCCAGACGGGTCTATTACCACCTAACCAACTGCGAATGAATAGAAGACTTATGGTCCAGGCGAGTATCAATTCAGGATTCGATCCCCAGACCATGCCTGTGTGGTAGTGCGACACTTGCCACTGCGCCACCTCCCCCAGAGAAGAAGACATTCTCGCAAAGGGCTGGTATTTGAGAAAGTCGAGTGTGTTTGAGCTATATGGCCACTAGCCTGCTCAGATGATTCCTTCCTTGGCTACTCTTCCTGAACTGATTCAAAGCGGCATCGCTTCTGACCCTGTCTGATCTGCTGGACCTTGGTCAGAAACTAAAACTTCAAGGTTCTCGTGCTCAGACCAATCAAAGGCGTGACAGCAGCAAAAAGGATGGTATGGGCACTTGCGGTCAAGGAAATATGGCCATTCGGATAGGAAAATAGTGAACTTCACAACTCAAGATACGCGATCATAAGGAATCCCAAAAAGAAGGAAGGCATCAAGGTGGACCTCTATGAAGCCAAGGTTATGCTAGAAGATGCTCTGGATAGGAAGAGGAGAATATAGCGGATTCTTATAAAGGCCCTAACGGGAGTTCAAATCAAGGAGAAGAAGAAGAGGCGGAAGCAGTTAAATCTCTCAACAAAAGGAATGGAGTTGATGATCATGTTGAGGGCTGTTTAGCTCGAGCCGATTTGATGCCCATAGCATAATCATAAGCCTCTAACTCGAACCGCCCACTCGAGCAGTTTTATCACTTCGAAGGATCCTCACGAAAACCATCTAAACTTCCTGATTCTACAAACCGTTTCTCTAAGTTCCTCTAAAACACCCCTGATCATAAACCACCCAGACTAATTAGCCCCCGAATTCACTGAGAACAATTAGTCTCCAGGTTTACTGAAGATGATGATAGACTGGTATATCAGGGTTTTCAGATAGCCATCCTTAAACTCGTTTCGCAAGAACGAACTCACTCTCACTTCACATCGATTGTCGATCGAGGAAAAAAAGAAACATACTTCTTCCTGGTTATGGAATTGGTCGGAAAAAGTTTGGCCGATTTGAAGCACCACAGGCCTGGTCGGGTAGGTTGTGCTCAGCTTATCATCCTACTTACATACCAGAGGCCTTTTACGAATGGCTGCATCGGCTGATTTTTGTGATAGTAAGGACAACGGGAGGTAAAACCTGATATGGCGCGTGAATATGTTGCTCCTTGAAAGTGACAATAAAGCATTCGCATTTATTCAAGATGTAGGGAAGGGAATGAGATGTAGTTGTTGTGTAACAAAATATGGTAACGGCCTGTAAAGGTTGATCAGCTATCTTCAAAAAAAGATCTCAAGAAACTAGGGGGCCTTTTTGATCTGAAGAATTGCGTTTCTTCCTCGTAGGCTGCTGCTGAGTGGTAAAAGACCTTCATGAAAATGGAAGGACCCGATAAAAGCATACAATAGTTGCTAAAAGTGAGCTTACGGCATCGGTTGCGCCTTTTTTCTCGATAGTACACCGAACAGCACTAATACTTGCAAAAGAGGAACTAATCAGAAGGAAATGTAAATTGTAACCTGTGATAGGAGCTGGTAAGAGCACATATAACAGGTGAGGGAGACACCAGGCCTCATCACATCCGGCAACGGGTCCCAACTAGAACATTGGGTGTTCCTCGACATTACAGTTCCGGAAACCCTTGACATGTAGTTCGGCATATGCCGCAGCAGATTTCAAAAGCTACATGCGCTGATGCCTGGGTTAATCGCTTCAGGACCCTCTATTTACGACAGGTATAAGCTGAAAGGTCCTGACACGATAAATGGAGCTGCGTTACGAATCGACGTTTCGGCTATAAAGGGTGGGAACTCTGATTCGATTGCTGGTGAAATATACTTCAAATATACTACTGCTTTACGAGCGCCCGAAAGTGTTCAAACTGTAGTGCCGTTCCGGAGTGAATCGGCTAACTTTCAGGTATTCTCCATGTCGACTGGATTAGGGGCATCTATTCAGTGTCTAGAAGCATGTGAGGACCTTCATAAACACGGATTTATACATCGCGATTTAAAACCAGCAAATTATGCCTGTGGATTAGGAGACAAGAAACGAATTGTAAGTGGTTCAGGAAAATCCGTCTAGAATTGAGCCTACTCCCTCGACTCACATAAGGCTACGGAAACAAAACCGAACCACTCGTTTAGCAATCACACCACCTGTTTCTTGGGCACCAAAATGAGACTGACGAGTGATAGTGAGGGCCAGGAGGACATCATGGGCCTGACCACAGCTGTAGGCCTCAAATCTCAGAAGCCTGATCAAAATCAATCAAGAATCATCAAGGACCTACATCGCTACAGACCCCTATCCGATTGATGTGTACATCTTTGCGTTTAAAAAATTCATCGGACCACCAGAGAGCTTACTCTCCCAGTCTTGAAACATACCGAAACATATTGTTAGACGGTTCCTGACTGTAGGATTCTTTTTCTGTATTCTTCTGTGCCTGGCTGCGGAGCACTCGTGCCCAGCTGAGAAGCATTTTGGGATTGCTGAAGCGGATATGGAATGGACGGGCGGGGATTGGCCATGTCCGTCCAGCCATGCCAAGTGCAATTGCCATAATTCATTACACTTTCAGATTTATATTCTTGATTTTGGTATAGCGCGAAAAATATTGAATGAGAAAGGAGAGCTGAAAACACCTAGAATGACGGTTAAATTCAAGGTTGGTGGTTGCTCACCATTTATTCTATAACGGTCCTCCAACAATAAGCTGCTTCACACGCTTTCAGGGAACTATACCCTTCGCATCAATATCCTGCCATCGAAATACCGAAATGGGACCAAAAGATGATTGCGAATCATGGTTCTACTTATTAATCGATATAACCTTTCCGCAGGGTCAGTTTGGAATTCTATCTATTGACGCAGATAGGCTTACATTCCCATTGCGACCGACCTCGATGGTGAAGGCGTTCAAACCCCTAGTCCACCGGTTTGGGCAAGAACTCTTCAGTACACCGAAGAGCTCCGACACCGAGTTGGTCGAGCTTCTTCACTTAGTGACCAACCACGGCAGGCTACCAAGAGATTCCCACTCCGCAACGGGGCCCACACCAAAAGGATACTCCATTACCTCTCCTGATTGTCGTTGTACTTCCTCTCCTTCTTTATTCTTTCCTTTCCTTTGATTCCGACGGTTCTACCATCCTCATCGGAGGAAAGGAGAGAATAACGAAGGAAAGGAAGTACAGCAACAATCATGAAAGGTAATGAAGACGGCAAAAAGCATATTCATCAAGTAGGAAACGAAATAATTTACGAAAACAGCTTAGCACAGGAATGAAGTCAGATTCTGAACGTATCGTATGCTACGGACATTCGAGTAGTTGATCACAGCCACCTTGCATGATCAACCCTAGTCCAAGATTGCATGACGAAATTACTTTTAGGATTGCTATGGAAGGCTCTAAGCGAGAAAAACGAAGTTTTACATATGAAAGAAGAAATACGAAAAGAAAAACGCGTAAGAGCCAATACGTAATAAGTCTATTTTACATGAACAGACCACCATAAAGCTCCGGAGATTCAGGATGCCCAATTTTTAAATATAAAATGCAAGGAAGAACTTCAAAGAGTAATGGATTACATCGACAGTCTTCACTATCATGATCACGTTGATTATTCGTTCATATACAAATTACTAGAAGAGGTAGGTAAACAAAGAATTTTAACCTCAAGAATCAGGAGAATCGCAAGGAGTACCGTGGGAGGCAATTGGTGTCGTAGTGGGTCAATAGGTTGGGGACGGTTGGATTGGTAGGTCATTAGCGAATCCCGTGACTGATCACTAATTATAGCCGATTACTATTGATATCAGACCCGTCTGGGATTACCTCGAGGTATTAACAAGGATTTACCTCCCTAGCCCGAATTCAGTACCTCTGAGCACTTCGGAGGAGTAGATCAGAATGGTAGATCCTAGAAACGGTGGAAAGACAGAAAGTATCATCAAAACTGTAAAATAAGGCATTTTGTCATTGACGAGCTCTGTTTGCGGGGTTAAGCCCTGCATTCGACTTTTATTCGAAATCGTAGAGGCCTATTTGCGTCTGAGGTCTATACAGTGACTTACGGTGTCCAGCAGAAGTACATATCGCTGCTTCTATCTTTCCAAAGCAGTCTAGCACCAATCTGCTGATCCCGGAGAGATGGAAGACTCGGTTGGTGAGGGTCGGTATCGATGAGAAGTACGAACCCCAGAACACGCGCCACTTGGCACTAAACCACCTATGCCTTAAAAAATGCTACATTTATGCCTCATTGGGTTATTTATGGTTCGGTACATGGCTGTTTTGAAGAATTATGACATCCAGCAGCCCTAATTTGGGTTATTTTTACAAAATGTCGTATTGGCATTTCAGGGGGCTGTCACAGCAGGTGGCAGCGTGCATGATCCTTATGATTGGGAAGTGGAGACGCCAAGAGTCAGGAGAAGTGGACACCATTTAGTATGACACTAGTTTATAACTGACTTGTAGACATCTCTATTGTACAGATAGTCATGATAATATCTCTCTACGCAACACATTGTACAGTTTTCTGTATCGATTTCACGAAGTAAATGTTTAACGCTTCTGACGTTCATGTAGTTACACCCATGCGATTCTGATGGGATATGATGGCAAAAACTCAAGCGGGCAGTGGAAACTTTTGATAGGAATCCTTTTAGGCACTGAAGATAGCGATTTCGCCGAAACGTCAGCCTAATACAGCTTATGTACAAACATCGTGGTGTGTTCAAGAAAGCAACCCAGTGATACAGCAGTTATGCCATAGGGTCGTAGAGAACCGTACGCGCAAATAAGGCAGTCGAGGTTGCCTTAAAGACGAGAATGGAATCTCTCGGCTTTTATAAGTGCAGTATGTGGGATGCGTCATGCACTCGATTTCCATTCAGAATCATAATGGTGGTATGAATGCGCTCTACAATGAATTGCGGTAGCCAGTCGGTTCGAAGCCAGCGTTTTCAATCTCCCACATAAATCTGGTTTGGTTCAACCGACTCCGAATGGAGGGCTTGGTGGGCCTGGGCAAGTATATGTGTAGGCCTGGATCCGATCTCGAGACCGTGCGTGTGATCATGTGCCACTTATTGTTAGAATGAAGCCACCTTCCATGATCAGTAACCTTTTTACAATACAACAAACCTGCATCTACCCCTGTGTACAACATTTCGTAAACTCCTACCTATATGCGCCCCTTCCCCATGAAGTGCATTGAACTGGGTTTTGAGGGAGATCTGGGAAACTGTGGCTTACCAGTAATGAGTTGCTGCCTGAGAACGGTACAATCCTTCAGCTCCATGGGTCAACAAATTTGCGCCTTTGTCAAGCCTCGGTAGATCTGATGGAGAAAGGCCTTGAGTGAGCCTAGCCTGAGCACCCTTCGGCGAACCTTTCCATGAGGGTTACCGACTGTTTCATACTGTTTGAATCGTCAAAATATTCGTGACAACAAGTAAATCATGTTTAGTAAATTTATTGAATATTAATTGATTCCGAGATATTTTTTGATGAGGGCAGTAACGAGACGGAACGGTCGCTCCTCGAATTCGATGTACTGATCGTGTGGAATTTTCACTTGATCGCCTTTCATACGATTCAACAGCGTCACACATACAATAGCTGCTGAAATTACTGGTTATTGATCGATGTTTTTGTCAATATTGATTAGTTGACTGCTGCTATTTTTCGGGTGAAATCGATTGAACACCCCAGTTTCTACGTCAGGACCTTTTCAAGCCCACAAAAGTCTGGAGTGTGCCATGCAAGCGAATTCGTTTGAAACTATGGACATGATCGAATGGACAGTAGTTGGCGAAAATCAGCCGCTCCAGCCTGCATTTTGAACGTCCCAAGCTAGCCAGATTTTTTTACCCAAAGCAGTCCATCTGGGACGTTTGAGTGGTCCCTAGCTGAGGTTCGAAGTGGAGGTTGATGCAAACAATTATGTTGTCCCAGACAAATGCTGCCTTCACCCCTTCGACTGAGGAAAAAATTGTGGAGACATCAAATTGTGTGAGCGGAACTGGACCACGGACGAGTTTTCATGAAAGACAATGGGTCGGGTACGAGCCGCTATGAGTGTCAAAGTACTACCTTTAATCTTGAGATTCTCCGTTCTGTTTGACCTCTTTATATGCAGACAGCTAGGAATGATTCAAAAAATTATGAGCACTCGTTTGCTTCAATGGGCGGATCTTCCTAGTTGGATAGTTGTACCTTTCATGTGACGGCTACACCTACTCAACCAGAAAGACCCGCCTATTAAGAACCCAGTCACTGAAAAAAATCCTTACCTTTTACACCTGCCCGGAACGTCATCGATGCAAAGCATGTGCTTTCCATTTCGATATTTCTTACTCCTTTTTCGTGAATTCTCTTAAGAAAATCGAATTTGTCCTCTGTTTTGTATTCACAGAAAAAGCCATCCAATCGCATTTGTCCTAAAAAATATTTTTAGAAAATGCTCCGAAATGAATTTCCGTGCCGTTCTAACGATTGGAAGAGTTCCTCTTCAAGTGGAGGGAAAAATTTAAAATTTGATAAAAAAGGTATGCAATACCGATAGATGAAGCGTTACGCGGAACGAAAGGGCCCTCTTTCGGTATGCGCCACGCATTACTTTTCAACCCAAAATGATGTAAGCAATTGGTGCGTTTTTGCGACGCTTTCAATTACGGTGGTATTTCGTTGGCCTGCCTTTACATTGAAGACAGTGACACTCACCCTCGTAAAAATCGTCCGCGCACATTGTCAAGCCACTTTCTACCGGTATTTTTTTCTCGTTGGCAAGTGCAATAAGGTCTTTCCGGAGATCTTCGTCCAAATGTGTGTCACGTTCATACTGAAAAAGCAGTTTCAACCTAGAAGCTAGATTTCGAGCGGAGGAATTCGAAAATTGAAAGTTTCTCTGGAGATTTTGGGCTGTATAACGCATATTCGAGACTTGATTCGTTTGCTTAGAGTCGATCGCAGCTACCTTGATGATCCTGGCCATCAGAGAAGAATCCTGACTACTGATTTAATAATCATTAGGTTCCATCTAAGGAGGTCTCGATCTTAACGTCCTCCTGTTGAGGATCGCTACCTAGTGAAGGGATAAGGACCCGTTTGAAATAAGAGCGCTTCGCCTTTCCTAAGAGGTGAAGGGCATCGAAGGGAAGAGAATGACACGCTGAACGTCGATAGCATTGCGTCGTTCGGTAAAATCTCCAGAATCATTTCGCTGTCATCAATCGAACCGAACGCATATCATGGAATTTCCGGATACGTTATGCACCCACAAGTGAGTAGGATCTTTTTAAAGGACCTCTGTGATAACTTCCGGAACATTCCAAGATAAAATCAGGACTGTTGCAAAGTGTTCGGGAAAGCTTTTCGTACACCCTGATCCAACATCTAAATACATCAACATACAGGTTAGAGTGGGTGTCAAAACTGCTCGTAGGCTAAGACGTTACTCTCCTCATGAGAGCACTCAATGGCCCGTACCCCTCAAAATGGTGTATCTTTTTGAGCTCGGTAGAGGAGACCCAGAATTAATTGAACCATTGTACAAAAGATTTTCTTCTTCTCCCTATTCAACTCCTCCCTCTTATCATACTCGGAAAAGGCAGAAAGGATAAAGTAGGACGAGTTTTCCTGAAAAGTCACGGTACCTTCTTTCCACCAATCCATTGCACGTATTTATCGTTGAGTTCAGCATTCATTGCGTTCGTAGTAACGACTACAGTACCTGGCTCAACTCCTACTCCTCCAGAGGTCCCCAAACGAATGAATCTGAGAAAACGAAGTTGATCAGGCTAGGTGAAACATGTCAGTATGCTTTCCAAAAAGACTTACTTGACGTCCTTAGCGTTTGCATGGTGTAGGAGTTTCAGTGCTTCAACCAACATGATACTCAATGATGGTGTTCCCATACCATGCTAAAGGACCATGGATCATTTAGTTTTGGATTGGCCATTTATCACAAATGGGAAATAAACAATGGCTAAATAAGCTTTAAAAGCGTGATTAGACCCCGAAGGTCGCGGTGTGCTCTTTACTTTGGGACAAAACCGCAGAGCTATTTGGAAGAGTAATCGCCTATTCAGTTGTCTTAGTAGACATTCCTCTTTGATGTCAGTGTTGCGAATTCATGCAGTTGAACTGCTTTGTAAGTTTACAATCTAATGAGCCAAATACTACATGGGCGGAGCTTAAGACCACTATTCCAGCTTCGTTACCCGATGTTGAACGATTTAAATGCCCCTTTCGATTACAAACCGGATGGATGGCGCGTCCTAAGAAACCAATCAATACCAAATTGTTCAAATAAACTCACATTGATCCACAGTACTGGCCCAGTCTTGTACATGACGAATCGGTCACTTTTTGAGAGATTATCACTACAGTCCAGTTTGCATTCTTTGGAAAACCATTCAGCGTACAGCTTCAGTCTTGTCGGAGAACCACCAGTGCATACGAACTGAAATAAACAGAGGTAAAATAAAATAAACAAGACAACTAAGCTATATTTGGTTGGCACCCATAACCATCTTCTTATCCTATCGAGACTGTTTGGTATGTTTTCCTGAGCCCTACCATAGATCGTTCAAGAAATCCCAGTGAATCTGAACTGCTGAATGAAGCTAAGGGAGCCAAGAAATATGCTCTCAACCAGCAGTCAGCAGAAGGCTTCACGTATGTAGCCCCATTCACGGAGTTATGTATGAATCCCTGTCTGACAGCAGGTTTTAGGAATCCACGGAGTAAATGTGACTTGATGCAGTTTGTTTCAGCCTGGTCAAAGGAAATTTCTGTTTTTGTTGCTATATTGTTTGAGATCAAGTTTTTGGTAGCTGTGCAAGTTACTGTATAGATGGATGAGTAATCCATTCTAGAATACGCCATGCGTACATACGCTGGCCAGCTGATATGCAAATCAGTGCTCCAATCTTCCCAAAAGAGTCTGATTCCGAATAGTTGACCCTATTAAGGGGTTGAAAGGCTGCTTTCATAGTTCACGATTTGGCGAGCGACCACTCGCGCGACCGGTCGCGATCTGCTCGGGACGGTCCTCGGCGGCACCCATGACTAGCGCGGCCTCCTCGACCGATCGAGCGATACAACTTTTATATTACTACCAATTTCCAAAAACAGCTTCTCCGTTTCTCTCACTACATTTGTTGATAAGGCGGGATAGTGTATAGTGTAGTTGATGGGATCCGAAAAACTGAAAGAAAACTAATATATATCTGAGAGAGTAGCTGTAGCGAAAGACGCCCGAAAGGGAGTAGGGCCTTTCCGCGCAAAATAACGTTTTTTCCAGGCCTGACCCGGATAGCTGGGCAACAGCCGGCCTCCCGTTTTTTTTTTCTTACGAAGTCAGAATGCACGATCGACCTGACATCCTTCTCTGACCAAGACGAATGATCCAATTCTGGCTACAACATTTTTGAAGGGCAATCCATCGACTTGCGTGAGCACCACAAATTCGACACGCGGTCTAATAAATCGCTAGTGCTACGAAGTTTTCACCTAATGCCCTTGGTATTGACAACAACCATCCACAACCGTTCGCTAAGAATTCCTTCCTTCCTTTTGTTGGGTTGACTGGGTTTACTTTTCTGCTACGAGCTGCCAGGTTGGGCAATCGAAACTTTTCAAATGATGATAATAATACTATCAGTTAATCATTTTCACAGCCTTTCTTATCTTCATGTATATAAATCATTGGCCGACATTCTCAGATTATTGGTGGTCGGATAGGTTTTGTAGCGAACGATAGGGTTAAAAGTAATGCATGGTCTCCTTCGATCGGTCCTTTTCTTGTCCTTATCACTCATTTTTTGTCATCCTACCTTACAACCCCGTGTCATCGTTTGAAACATATCAAATTGTCAAGGCTACATTGTATTTACCATGGAATTTAGTAACTAAAAACCTGAGATTCTTTATCGGTCTCTATCAGCCGTTATCACTTTCTATGATGTGTTATCAGTGTTCCATGCACACCCTACATTACACACTGAAGTAGCAATGCTGCGCCGGAATACGAAAGAGGAAAGTGATCAAGCGACAATTATCGACCACTATCAGTTTCGATCAGTGCCCGTTATCAACCATCCACCTTCCGATCACACCTCACAGCACCCTTCATGATATCAGGTTTCCTTGATTTAGTCCGAAGAGAACGTAGGACCCAGTAGCTCTTGTCTACCACATCCTTAAGTGAAAGCTTATCAGCTGCTAATAGCTGTTACAAACATCTCCGAACCCAACAGATCCTACAACACTTGCCAAAGTGCCAAGGCTTCAGGTGTTAACACATAAAGGGTGCTACGGAGCTTGTGGCTTCTGTATTTTATCACTCTCTATCAGCCACTACCAGCTGTTTTCAGCCCTTTACACCTCCCGTCACTCATCAAGATGTCATGACTTCGAGGATAGATGACAGGTAAGACAGGGTAACCAACTCTATGACTCCTCCCTTCTATGGCTTCTTACTAGCCCTTACCACTTGTTATCAGTCCTTGTTATCGAATATCTACGGTCTTGTTACACTACCACATCACCTACCATAGTGTTGGAGTTCCATTGTGTACGGGAAGGGCGTATTTAACTCATGTATCTCTTGTATTCTAAGGTCCTTATCAGATCGAATCAACTGTTATCATTTCTTATCATCTGAATTCAGTGTTCCCATTCTGTCGAATGTATCCATTCCAAAATTCACCTCTTTAGGTAAAAGGGTGTAGCAAATATGAATTTCCAGTCAAATACGCACACCCACACACGCCCTCACCCACTTACACCCTCACACCGACACCCCCAAATTATCCCGCACACATAGCAAACTGTATATAATATAAGATCATCTCTCAATTAAAAATAAGAAAGGGAAATGAAAGAGATAAAAATCAGAGCCGTTTTTTTTTTGAGAAAGGACAACTTGAGAGAGCCAGTGAACAATAATCTTCATATGGTTTATTTACTACTTGGCTGAGGTAATAAATTTGCATTCAAGAGACAAGTGCATCAAGATGGAAACCAGTCCAGAAGGATTGGATCTGCACCTACCTTGACGTCTGCAAAAGTTTTGGGAATATCGACTGTCTTCAGCCCAAATCCGAAATGATACAGGAAATCATCGTCGACATTTTCAAGGTACTTGTTCCTAAGGCCGAATGCCGGATAGGAGAGCATCTTTTTTCCTGAAAATTTCAAATATTCCATTGGGTTGTTGAAGGGTAATAACTCTTTCAAATGTGTAAGAATGTGAATGGAGCATCTGGCTTTGGACCAACATTCTGCTATTTCGGGCGCAACTCGGCTCCTTTCAATTACCTCGACTTCCTGACAAATTCTTTCGAAGCTAAAAGGTTTCCACGGTATTGCGCCTCAATTTATCCTAGTAAATTGAGCATGTTATGTGCAAACGCGAATGCGAACCCATGAGAAACCAGTCAAAAAACCGCTTTCCTCCATTTTGTGCTAGATGCGTTGTAGCGGTAAGGGGCGCACTAACACACTCATGTTCATAGGAATAAATCCCGGATCCATGATCGCGAGAGTGCGAGAGATTGTCGTAATCAGTGGAGGGCCTGATGTTGTGAATGTAAATCGCCTCCTTACGGCAGTGCCACTCAATTTGCGCCAATCAAAAGTTTTTATCCTGTTCTTATTTCACTTTTTCTCTTCTCAAGTTAAATTAGAAGCAACCAATGAGCTAAGTAAAAACAAGGGCTCACACGACTTATGGGCTGACCTTAAATTTGGGAAATGTGCGCCCCTGTTGAAAGGTGATATCGAGACCAACATCTAGATATTTGAGCTAAAAAACAAAACAGAGGGGCACATCCATTCCTCTCATTTCACAAATAGGGCCTCTCTCAAAGATGAAAAAAGGAGTAACTGGGCACGTCTGGAAGTACATAGTGTCAGGCACCATAATCTTGCACCGATCAGCGATTTGGCCCTGAATGGATGGATGGTGTGAAAAGGCTGGCCTTAGGATGGAATTCTGACAACAAAACGGACGGGAAGTTTGAGGGGAAAAGGACTATGAACAAAATGAAACAGACAAACCGGTCGCCATCTTGCGTAAGTAAAAAATGGTCGTTTTGATGGCAACCCCCTCTCTTAATATTAGAAATCTTGCGATAAGCCTGGTACACTACAAAAATACCGAGCATACACGCATGCCTTCGATAGTCATTGAAGATAGGTTCCTTTGAAAATAACCGACTAGAGCCTCTGAAAAACGTTCAAATATATTTTTCATGATAACGATCGCGTTCCTGCTGTGACAGTCCTTTTGAATGAGACCGACAACGTGGGGCGATAACACCGAAAAACTACCTAAAAACTACCAGACAGAGGTAAGAAGGTGGCAAAAGGAGACGCAAAAAATGCATAGTGCTCAGATCGAATCTGTCCTACGCCTATCAAGCCCTTCATCATGACAGGGGTAATTAACGTGGACCGGATTCCGCCGAGACAATAGAACCTGTGAATTCTAGTTCGAGAGTTCTGCAACTCATCTGGTCTTCATATTCGTAATTCAGAGCTCTTACGATCTTGGTTTAAGTCGTGTGTCTGGCACATCCCACCAAATGTCATTGACCGCCTGATCACTCAAGTTGTTCGGGTTTGTCCAAAAACCTAGGGATCAGCCTCAAACTAACCGACTAAAGCTCGTCAAGCAGCAAATTTTTTGGGAGCGTCGAAAAGTTCCCGTTTCATCTCTACATGTTAAGTAAGTCGCACGAGTTGAGAAACTGGTGAAACATACTTGCGATAGCTGGGAATGTCGCGCGAAAATGCCGCTCGTAAAGGTATCGTGGAGTGGGGATAGTGTAGTGGTCACTGGCGCGCAATCTACGCATATGCTCCCGGGTTCGAATCTCAGGTCGGTACTCGCCCTTGGCCAGCCGTTTCATGGCCAGCCGAGCCATTCATCTTCCTGGCTGGAGGAGCTTTCCTCTTGACCTTTCCTTTTGAACAAGGCCCTGCTCTGAGTAGATCCTTTAGAGGAAGGTGAAATGAGTAGACTAGGTGCTGACGTGTGATGATGACTCTCTTTGCGCTTCTATTCCACTGACCTTTCACAACGGTGCGAATGTTACTGGAAGTAGCTGTCGGCAACAGAACTATACGGAAAGAGGGGCTGGGACAGAACTCGAAGAAACAAGGCCTAGGTGGATATCGTTTCGGGATTTGATCTATTGAGCCTGAGTCTGGTATGGCGCCACTTGGCACTACGCGAATCGGCTGAGGCGCTGCGGATTTAACCAGGCTATTATTATTAATATGATTAACAAATAACAAGTGGCAAGAAGCTTCTCGAGTCACTTACTAACGTTGGATTCAGATGGGACGTCGTCTGGAAAAAATAGCAACGTAGATGCTGGTCTAAAACCACCGATTCTGTTATTCAGATGTCACGGTGGTAAATATATACTGGCCAAAGGCTGTTCAAATGTTCAAATCCTTAGAGTACACTCAGTGA